TGGAGAGGGAACTGTGACAGGTTTCATTTTTTTCCATAAGCACAGCATTCTCAAGGGCTTCAACGGCTTGGTTTCAGCAATCAATCAAACGGAAGCAACGGAGGTTTGCTGGAGTTTCTCCTCGTACGCATTTGTGGCGAGAAGGAAAGGAGGGAGAGGAGGAAGAGGATGGGGAGAGAGAGAGAGAGAGAGAGAGAGAGAGAGAGAGAGAGAGAGGAGGAGGAGGAGGAGAAGGAGGAGAAGGAGGAGAAGGAGGAGGAGGAGGAGGAGAAATGAGCCAAGAACGACTCAGGCGACGGAGAGCACAGTCAGGTAGGAATAAAAGAAGGAGGCTGGCAGTGAAGGAGGGTGTCAGAGCGAGAGAACCATGGGCAGCCTTCTGGTCACGTGCTCCCCGTGCGTCACGTGAGGGTCGGGGAAGGAGATCCTGCCGGGGTCCACGCCAGCCTCCCTCGCTTCCTTGCGGATATTCTTCTTTGCCGCCTCCTCGGCCTCCCCTAGCACAAGGACGCTACCTAGTGCTCGCGTCAGCTGCTGCAGGATGTGCTGACTGGGCAGGGCTGACCGGGCAAGGCGACGAGGAGGCTCAGCCAGGTAGTGAACATGTCAGGAGAGAGCTTGAACGACTTGTTGAAGTCTGCGAGCACGAGCCCTTCTGCCGGCACGCCATGCTCTTCTCGCCTCACTCCATGTCGCTTCAGCGCTGTCTGCAAGTCTGTGGGCTTGCTGTCCCTGGTCTTCAAATCAGGAGGAAGGGAAGAGCGAGGAAGGAGGACAGGGTACCCAGACAGTAGGGCAGAGGAGAAGATCCGTGTGAGGTTGGAGTAGGACTGGGCAAGGGAGGAGACGGAGAAGGAGAGGGGGAGGAGGGCAAAGGACTCTGTGAAGTGAGACTGAAAGTCAGGGGGCGACGACAGACGGTCTGATAGCAGGAAGTCGACGAAGTCAGCTCCGCTAGATGAGCAGGGGCCCAGCCAGTTCACGACGATGGGAGCAGGACGCAAAGCCAGGACCTGTCGTGCTTCTGTCAGGGATCCCAGGAGAGCGTCCTCCTCCTTGTCCTCTGGTCCTCTTGCTCGCTCTTCTCCCTCCCTCCCTCGCCTCTCCAGTAATATCCTATATCTTCATATGCTGCGTCATATGTTGTATCCTACCCCCTCCCTCTCTCCCTCTCACCCTCCTCCCTCAGTCTCTGCTCTCTCTCACCCTCCTCCACCTGCATGTTGTCTGCCACCCCTGTGGTGACGCGAACGTCGCGGTACCCGTCTACATCGAGGAGGACATGAACTTGAAGCTCGTTGATCGCTGACGCGATGCCGGCCGGATCGATGCCGTTCACATCCTTGAAGTCTTCGACCTCCTCCACCATGCTCCGCCTGCACGCGGCTGGACGGTAAACTCCGTGCGTGAAGGAGGAGACGGGCTGAGAGGGAGAGGTGAAGGAGATGAGACCGAGGAGGAAGGCCAATGATGGACAGGAAAGCTGCAGATTGAGACAAGAAAAATGAACAAGCCACGGAGAGAGAAGAGAACAGAGAGAAGAAAGGAGTTGAGTGGGATGGGTAAAGGAAGAGGGAGGATGAAAGGGTAGCACGCACACCTTGTGGGGTCATCGGAGGAGGAGAGCGAGAAGGCGATCACGTGGAATCGGGTCCTATCATGGAAAGAGAAGACGTGCTCCATCGTCCATCCGAAGGAATTGGCTGCAAACTGAGAAGAGAGGTAGCCCTGGGAGGAAGAATGAGGAGATGAAGGAAGGAAGAGTGGGGAAGAAGTAAACAAAGAGGACGTGGAGCAGGAGCAGGAGCAGAAGCAGGAGCAGAAGCAGGAGCAGGAGCAGGAGGCAAAGGAAGAGGAGTGAGTAGAAGTGAGAAGGATGAAATAACAGAGGTCAGAGCAGGAAACTTGCCACTCTCACTCTCACTCCCTCCTTGGGACGCCAAGAGGTCTGCGGGTGCCGGAACGGTTTCAACTGCAATTTTCGTGCCTCCCTCTCTGCCCAGAGGACAAACGTCATCATTACTCCCTCCCTCCCTCCCTCCTACCCTCCCTTCCTCCTTTCCGCCTTCCTCCTCGTCCCTTCCTTCCTGCAAACCCCCTCCCTCTCTCCCTCTCTCCCTCTCTCCCTCTCTCCCTCTCTCCCTCTCTCTCCAGTCTCTCCCCCCCCCCCTCTCCTATCTCTCTCCCTCCCCCACTCCTTTCTGTCCTCCTCCTCGTCCCTTCCTTCCTCCCTTGGCTTCACAACCTGTAAGGAGGGCACAGAATCGAGCGCTTGCCAGCGTCGTGATCGGGCTCATCGGGTAGTAGAGAGCATGCTGGGGAGGAACTAGAAGGTAGCTCTGCTGGATGGTATTGGCGTTGCTCCCTTGCCATCCGGGCAGCCAGTGCAAGCTCCTGTTGGCCAGTCGCTCGAGCTCCTGCATGTTATTGTCCCAGTCCCTCCATTCGCACATGAACTGCCGAACCCTCTGGAGGTTGGTGTACGTCCTCTCGCTGTGGTGAGCAAGGGATAAGTAGGAAACCTCCGCACGTGTCTGCCTGCCTACCTGTATCGGATGGACAGCGAGCGTTCGAAAGCCTTCATCTGCTCCTTGAAGCGAAAGTTCTCTCCAAGACAGACCCCAAGGTCCTGGTACATGACCGCAAGAGCAACATCCGTGACCCTCGTGCTTTCCTTGTCCCTCCTCTTCTCCTCCTCGGCTGTTGTGACTGCTTCTCTGAACATGGGCAAAGCTTCCTCAACACGCTCATGCTCGAGCAAGATTCTTCCTATCCCCCAGTAGGCCTGAGAAGCCCTTTCAGTGCAGGGAAGGGGAGGCAGGATGAGAAAGAAGGAGACGTCCGGCGGCAAGGAGCTACAAGTACAACCGAGACACACCTTACTATTCGTTGAGTCAAGACGGAGAGTCTCCTGGAACATCTTGAGAGCTCTCTCGCTCTCTCCCTGCAGCCTCATCCTCTCTGCTTCTTTTCTGAATCTCTCGGCGTCCTCGAGCCTTGAGCCCGACTCTATCGCAAATGGGCAAAGAACGCAGCAGGTGAGAAGGACGACGACGACGACGATGACGTTCATTCTCAGCAGCAACCTCCTCTACATCAACTCAGATGAATGCTGTACGGAAACCAACAGTCAAGATACTTTGCTATCCTCCTCCTCCTCGAGTCCTCCTCCCCTCCCCTCCCCTCCTCTCCCTCCCCCACATTTTTCATTTTTGACCAGCACAGAATTTGACTAGCTCCCAACACTGCCAGCTCACCTCAGAGTTTCCATTTGACTTTAAAAAAAGGCAGCATTCTCAGTTACCCCAACGCTCTGTATGTCTTACTCCCTACCGGATCAACGCTTTTTTTAACGAACGTCCTGGCAGCCGCCATGGGCGGCTGTTGCTCCAAAAATGACACAACAGCTACGAAAGGGGCCATCGCACAGTGTAGGGGAGCGGATGGAGCAGGAGCAGGATCTGGAGTAGGATCCGCAAGAGCAGGATCCAGTGGGGAAGGAGAAGGAGGAGGAGATCGAGGAGGAGCTCAAGCAGCAGGACCAGGATCCGAAGGAGCAAGAGTAGAGGCAGGAGCAGGAGCAGCAGGAGCAGCAGGAGCAGCAGGAGCAGCAGAAGCACGATCAGGAGCAGGAATAGAAGTGGGAGCGGGAGCGGGAGGAGGAACCCGAGCAGGAAGGGCCGAAGCAGCAGGAACAGTCCCCAAAAGACCTCTGCAGCTTCGTCCATTACCTCTGACTTGCCAGGTAAGAAGCCACCCCCTATCGCACACTCCCTCTGTCTCCATCCCCAGTCTCCTGCACTCGGCAGACTCTCCTGACGATGAGCGGCAGATCCGTGGCAACGACGTCCCGATGGAGTTCGAGCATGCGGTGTTGAAGGAGCACTACCTGAAGATGAAGGAGATGAAGGCCTTCAATGACTGGTGCCGGGAGATGGACGAGGAGCTGGTTGTGTCCAAGGTGGTGGTGCAGTCCATCGACCTCTTCGGGCCGAGGATAGGCTTCCTCAAGTTCAAGGCGGAGGCGACGACGAGAGACGGGAAGCCTGTGCCCGGCATCGTGTTCATGCGAGGAGGAGCGGTCGCGATCTTCATCGTCATCACGTGCAAGGAGAGCAAGAAGCAGTACACGCTCCTCACTGTGCAGCCGCGGGTGCCCGTGGGGAAGGCGGCATTGTACGAGCTGCCGGCGGGGATGCTGGACAACAGCGGGGACTTTGTGGGGATGGCGGCGAAGGAGCTGGAGGAGGAGACGAGCCTCAAGGTGCAGAAGAAAGATCTGATGGACCTGACAGAGATGGCGTTCGGGAGCGGCTGCCTCGGCATCTACCCGTCCGCAGGAGGATGCGACGAGTACCTGCGGATCTTCCTGTACCGGGCGACGATGAGTCCGCAGGAGATCAGCAGCCTGCACGATAAGTGCACGGGGGTGCTGGAGGAGGGGGAGACGATCAAGCTGAAAGTGATTCCGATCGATGACCTGTGGTGAGTAGAGGAGAGGGGGGGAGGGAAGGAGGGAAAAGAGAAATGGAGAGTAGAACAGCAGTTTAGAAGACTAGCCACCTGCGCAGAATTGGTAGAACCGGGGCTCGAGAATCATGTAAGAGGGATATTGGAGGTTTAAGAAATTGGTTGTGAGGGGGGGCGACTGCGACATCTGAATGCGACAAAGGAGCTTGAACCTCTGGACACGAATTTGCCGTGGCAACTGACTTGGTCTGACGCAGGAGCCTGGCTCCGGATGGAAAAGCGTTGTCAGCCCTCTGTCTGTATACGAAACTTCTCAAGCTGGGAAAAGTTACTCCGACCAACTGAAGTTTCCCTACCGACACAACCAAGAGCCACTCCGCCAAAAGCAGCTGCTGAGCCAACTCGGAACTTCAAGTCTGTCTCATCGCCGTGAGCATCGAGAATCGAGTACGGCGGTCCATCTACCGGCTACAAGCCCCAGGCCCTCTCAGAGTCCGACGGTCCGGGATGGTGTGACGCCGCCGGAGTCGGCCCGGACAGAACGGCTGACTCACTGAGCAGAAGAACGGCGGCCCGGTGGCACGCCGCTCGCGAGCAGTGAAGGAGCCTCACAGGCTTGCCAACTCTCGGCGGTGAATTCGGGAGTCCGATGATCACTTGCCAGGGCCTGAGTCACGGTGCCAGTGGCCTCCGGTGGCCGCGGAGCTTCCGGGCCCGCCACTGCAGCCTAGTGCCGGCGGCAGTGTGGCATGATTAAGAAAACCTTAACGGCGGTCGCCGACCGCCCGCGCGCCCGGCCGGGCGCGCCGCCGCGACTCAGCTCGTGACAGCCGACCGTATCGGACTCGGTGACACCGCCCTAGAGTCCTGGCAGTGGCCGCGCGCCAGCCTCCGAGGCTCGGCGCCGCCCGTTGGCTCGGCTGCCACTGAGCCTACGGTGACCATACTTATACTGAAGCGCCTGAATAACTTAATAAACTTTGCGCGCGTGATGAGCCCCGCCAGACTCCGTGACCACTGTGACCGACCACCGTCACTTCGGAGTGTTCCCCACCGCCGGCCGGGCAGTCACCCAGCCCCGGGGGCCCGCGTATCCAGTCACCCAGCCGAGGTCACCGTTCAACACCGGTCACGTTGCCTGCAATCGCCGGGCCCGGGGGCGGCCGCCGCCGTCCGGCCGGCGGCGGCGGAGCTCGCTGCCGCGCAGGCCGGGCCGGGCCGGGCGTCCGACGGTCACGGTCCGATCCCGGTGGCACCGTGACCGTTGCCAGTTGATCGGACTTACCGTGGCGTTTACTCAAAGTTAAGTGAAAGATCAGTACGAGGACAATCAGGAGAGTAATAAGAGGAGGTTGTAGTCAATATCTCTCTGAAAAAAATTGACTATAAACCTGCTCTCCTCCCGGCTAGTCCTTGGGGCCAGTCAATGCATTGACTTTGCTTATTTTGATTATGATAATACATAGAAAATATTATACCATGGCCCTACTTGTTTGGCTGTCAGAGTGGAATCTATTGGAGGGGGCATATAGTCAATGTTTTTAGTCAACATGCCTCGTGGACGTCTGCTCCCTCCCCGCGCCTCTCCTCCTCGCTCCTCAGAGGATCGTTCTACCAGCTCCTCCTCTTCCTCCCCTCCTCCCGCTACCTCCTCGCTCTTCTCCTCGCTCATCCACAGGCTGATCGGCTAGATCACTACACAAAAAGCCCTTGGGTCGCGGCTGGTGGACATTGCTCTGTGAAGCACGAGGCAGAGTTCGTTTGAATCCAGCGGGGAGCTTGCGGGTGGATATCAGTAGTTGACGAGCAGCGGATTGAAGGAGAGAAAATCTAACAGCCACGTTCTGCGAGGATGAAGTGACCCGACCTTGATCTTGACGGAGGTAGATTCGTTTCGAGGAAAGAGCCTTCACCATGGACGGAGCAGGAAGAGGTCGAGGTCGAGGATTGACCACGCCCGCATGGATGCAAAAGCAGCCCACTATGTCCCAGGAGCCTCCGCCCTCAGATCAGACGCCACAGGAGGTGCAGACATCAGCTGCTACGGAGGAGGAAGTTCCGTCAAACCCTATGCAGGAATCGCCTGCCCTTTCATCGGGAACCTCCGGCCAAGAATCGACACCAGGGACGCAAAGCTCGATGGCAGGAGGTTCTAAGGCCAATTCGACGCCCACAGGGCAGGTGAGAGCTGCTGCTTCCTCCTCCATGTGCGCCCCGTTGACTTTCTCTGACGTCGCCTGTAGATGGGCATGCCGCCTACATCTCGAGGGTCCATGATGCCAGGACATGGCGGCATGAATCCGGGCATGGGCATGGGCATGGGCATGGGCATGGGCATGGGCGCGGGGAGGATGGCGATGGCGAATGCCTTCGGAATGGGCATGAAGCATCCCATGGGCATGGGGACACTGAGCGGCATGGGCCCGAGCATGCAGGCAAAGCAGCTGCTGGCCATGTCTCAGACTGCGATGCTGATGGGAGTAAGGAATGCCATGCAGGGCTCGCGAGGTATGATGCCGCAACGTCCGGGTATGCCTCCTGGTCCCATGGGGGGCCCAGGTGGAGGACCAGGCGGAATGAGGCCCGGGGGCATGGGAGGACCCGGGGGCATGGGAGGACCCGGGGGCATGGGAGGACCCGGGGGCATGGGAGGACCAGTTGGTGGGCCGGGAGGCATGCGACCTGGAGGTATGGGTCCAGGCGGGCCAGGCGGGCCAGGCAGCATGGGACCTGGAGGTCCAGGTGGACCGGGCGGCATGGGCCCTGGCGGCATGGGAGGGCCGGGCGGCATGGGAGGACCAGGCGGAGGGTCGGGTGGTATGCAGGGAGCAGGAATGCAGCCACCAGGTATGCAGAGTCCCATGTACGGTGGAAGGGGTCAGTCTCCGATGGGAATGCCGGCTCCACCTTACCCGGGCCCTCAACCGGGCCATATGCCGCCGGCCATGCCCCCGCAGCAAGGAATGCCTCCGATGAATCCTCCGATGGGGCAGGTAAGGGAGAGGCAGATGCTGGTAGTCACTGAACCCTGTGCAGCCGCCGGGAATGGTTCCGCCAGGTATGCCGCCGAGCTTGCCTCAGAATGGCATGCACCACCCGCAGGCTATGCATCAGCCCATGATGCACCATCCTCCTGCTCAGGTAAGTCCCATCAGGCGAGCTCGTGGGCGCGGCTGAGAGCCGTTGCAGGCCCCCGTCCAGCACGGAGTCACGACTTCCTCCGGGGTTCAGATGGGCCCTTGGACAGAGCACGTGGACAAGACGAGCGGAAAGACGTACTACTACAACTCCCTGACCAAACAGTCTGTCTGGACGAAACCGGCTGAGCTCATGACCCCGGAGGAGAAGGCAGGAAAGTCTGCGAGCGTTTGGAAGGAGTATCAGACCCCGGAAGGGAAGAAGTACTACCACAACACCGTCACCAACACCACTCAGTGGACCCGCCCTCCCGAGCTCGACGACGGTGATGAGGGAGCATCGGGAGCAGCGGCCGATGCGGATGGAAGTGTAGGGCGAAAGGGCGAGGCTTCAGGAGATGGAGGGAAAGATTTTGACCGCAAGTCAGAGGACGATAGGGAGAGCAGGGCGTCCTCGAAGAAAGAAAAGGCAAAGGCCGACCCTGTGTGTGACCTCCCGAGGAAGGAGTATGCGAGCAAGGAGGAGGCGATGGAGGACTTCAAAGGTCTGCTCAACGATAAGGTGACGTCCCACAAGGTGACGTGGAACGAAGTCCTGCCGGAGCTGCAGCTGGACGTTCGCTTCAAAGCTCTCAAGAGCACGGGCGAGAAGAAGAACGTGTTTGAGAACTTCATCGCTAAGAAGCAGAGGGACTGGGTGGACCAGGAGAGGATCAGGAAGAAGACGGCCAAGGACGAGTTCAACGTCCTGCTGCGAGAGTCCTCCTTCATCACCCACACTTCGAGGTTCAGAGACATCCAGGATCGTTTGAGCAAGGACCCTCGGTTCGGCAAGGTCGAGAGCGAGAGGGAGAGGGTGGAACTGTTCGAGGACCACATCCTTGAGCTGGAGAAGAAGGAGAAGGAGAAGCTGAAGGCGGCTCGCAGCGAGAACCTTGCCAACTTCCGTGCCCTTCTCTCCGAAGTACCAGAGCTGACGTCGAAGATGCGGTGGACGGACGTGAAGAGTCTGATCAAGGAAGACCCTCGCTACCTCGCGCTTGAGGGAGACGACAAGTACCGGCTGGACGCGTTCGACGAGTACATGGGCGAGCTGGCGACCAAGGAGGCGGAGGAGAAGGAGGTCCAGAAGGAGATGAGGAGGGCTGCAGAGAAGGAGCAGCGGATAGCGTTCAACGCGCTGATGCAGGAGTGCCACGAGAAAGGTCTGCTCAAGGCGACCACGAGGTGGAAGGAGCTCAGAGAGAACGAGGCAGTGGCCAAGGATGAGCGTTTCTTGGTGATGGTGGAGCAGAGCAAGACGAGGGCACAGGAGCTGTTCGAGGACTTCATCGAAGAGCTACTGGTCAAGTACAAGGCGGACAGGCCGAGGCTCAAGGACGCTTACAAGGCCGCGGAGCTGCTGGACATCTCCAAGTGCACCATCGAGGAGTTCGAGCAGGCGATGAGATCTCACGAGGCTGTAAAGGGCGTGTCTGATGAGCACGTCAAGCTCTTCTACCATGAGCTGGTGAGAGACCTGGCCTTGCTGTTTCTAGATCCGTTCCTCCTCCTCCCCTTTCCTCCTCCTCCTCCCAACCCGTGTTTGCACAGTCGCGGGGATGTTGATGTTGGTGCCTCTGCAGAAGAAGATGGCGCAGGAGGAGGTGGAGAAGAAGGAGAAGAAGCAAAAGCGAGCAGAGAAAGACTTTGCGAGGTTGCTCAGCAAGTACGTCGAGAGAGGCAAGATCGCAGCCGGCGCTACGTACAAGGTGATCGTGACTTGACCTGGTGGGGTATAGCAGGCTGACGAGCTCGGCGAGCAGGAAGCTGAAAAGGTCTGCGGGGAGAGAAGCGCATGGGTGGAAGTGGCAGACGAGAAAAGGACAGAGCTGTTTGACAAGGTGGAAAAATGGAGGAGGGGAGGGGGAGGAGGAGGAGAGGGCGAGAGGGGAAGGACAGCGGGGGTCACAGGAGAGGGAGAGAGTGGGGAGAGGATCGGAGGACGCGAGTGGCTGAGAGTGAGCTGGTCAGATCATGGAGGCGATCGGCAAGGACGACCTTTACGACGACGACGACAGGTAAGATGAAGCAGACTTGCCTCTTCCCTCTCTCCTGACCCCTTCATTGTACCACCATCACCACCTCTTCTTCCTCCTCACTGCTCTCGTTTCAGGTCACGATCGGCTTCTCCTGCGCGTGAGAAGAGGGAGAAGCGGGCGAACTCGATGTGAGCTGGACGAGGAGGCTGTGGCGGAGCTTGGGGGGTGACCGTTTTGGCAGATCCGCCGAGGACGAGGAAAGGGAAGCGAAGAGATCGCGCGTGGAAGACGAATGATGAGTTTCAACTTCATGTACATCTTGTATTCATTCCTCGTCCTCTTTATCTCCTCGTCCTCGTCCTCGTCCTCCTCGTCCTTTCCTCTACATCATACCCGACACTCCTCTGACCCCCAGTCCTCCTCGCTTTCCTCTCTATCCACTCTGTTGACTTGCTACACCTACGCGCCCTTCCCGTCCCTCACGGCTCGATATCTATTAAAGAATATTGTTTTGCTCAGCCCTCATCCTCCCTCCAGCACTCGTCGCAGCTTCTCCCTCGCCTCCTCCTCCACTTCAGCCTCCCCCAGCAGCCCCTTCAGCTTCTCAACCACCTCCGGCTGCCCCTTCCCCCCCCTCTCCAAGATTTCCGTCGCCTGCGCTAGCGTTAGAGGAGGAAGCACGTGCGGTCCATCAGCGCACCATCCTAGCTCGTAGGTTCAGCTCGGGGATGGACGCGAGAATTCGCGGGAGGAGGATTTGTGCCGTGCTTGTCTCCCTCCCCCCTTGCTTGCTGTTCGCAGCATCAGGTCGACCGAGTCGCCCCTCCCATCCTCTCAGCCCCTTCCTCGCCCCTCCCTTTGACCTGCTGCCTGACTGCCTGACTGATCCCTTACCTCCCCTCCTCCCTTGCTCCTTCCCTCCTCTCCTTCCCTTCCCTCTTTCCTTGCTCCTTCCCTCCTCTCCTTCCCTTCCCTCCTTCCTTGCTCCTTCCCTTCTCGTCGCACACTCTCTTCTGCTCACCATGGCTGGTCGACTTTCATCCCCGACCGAAGAAACAGGACGAGCATGTCTGCCTTGGCCTGGGAGGACAGGCGAGGGCAGTTGCTGTAGAAGAAGATTCAACAGCATGGAGGGAAATGTGAGAATGCGGAGGGTCACAAGGAGGAGGAGGAGGAGGGAGGAGGGGGAGGGAGAAGGAGGAGGGAAGAGGAGGAGCAGGGGTACACGGAGGAAGGAGGGGAGGGGATACATTGCTCCTGCAAGCACGAAGGTTCCTGTGCTCGCAGCAGTCGTCCTCTCAATGCTCTCCGAGTTTAACTGAAGGACAGGAAAGTCACTTCACTCGCCGGCCCTGGCCGGCCAGGCAGCGTCCTACCTCCATGCCCTTTTCGATCAGCCTCTCGGCTAGCGCGAGCTTCTCCGCGTCTTCCACCTCCTTCTCAGGTCAGCAAGCTGCTGTGCAAGCAGAGGCCGTAGGAGATCGAAGGAGCAGGGAGGACAGCGAGAGGATCAACGACGAGGCGAGCAGGAAGCACGGGAAAAGGAGGGGAAGGAGGTGGTGGCAACGAGAAGCATCCAATACAGGAGAAGGCAGAGGGTCGGCCACGTGACAAGGATTGGCTGTACCTGCAGCCATAGCGTGCCTGCTAGGATCGAACCCCCGCAAGACCCTTGAGCCCTTCCTTCCCGCCACTCGCTCCCAGCATTGAGACCCATGCCCAAGAGCTCGCTGATCTGAGCACAAGAGTGAGAAGTGATGGGGCGAGGGAGGGAGGGAGGGAGGGAGGGAGGGAGGGAGGGTAAAGAGGAAGGAATGGGAGGAATCACACAAGCAAGAATAAAGAAAGAGGGACGAGGAGAGACGGGGAAGGAGTGAGTGAGTGAGTGAGTGAGTGAGTGAGTGAGTGAGTGAGGGAGGGAGGGAGGGAGGGAGGGAGGACGAGGAGATACAATCGAGCTCACCATCTTCATCTTGCAGCCTCCGCTCGCATGTCGGAGCTGCAGTAGCTCCACAGCGAGCTTGTACCCGCAAGTGACCTTGTCTCCGTTGGTAGTCTTGCACAGTGTCAGCAG